GTTGCAATAGGAATAAACGGGACTAAATGGGACAGGATTTATTTGGATTTTCTGAAAAATCTCTTTTTGACTCAATGAAATGAATCAATTACTCAAAAATGCACTTAAATCAGTGTCCTGAACCCCTTGTCATCATTTCTATTACTGATTGTGTAATTCAATAAAACCAATAACCTATTTCCTCTACACTCCGCCAAGTCTTTATATACTGCAGTGGGGTAAAACTTTTGGCAGGTAGTTGGAAATAATACCCATTTTTATAGCCCTGAGTTGATGTGTTAGCTGCCAGAAATAAATTAAATTTTCCTGACATATATATCACAGATCCAATTTAGTGTAAACCATGATTATGAGAGAGCCTAAATCCCAGAGTTGAAACTGCGTTTAACTTTAAGTATCCTCCCTCAGAGGCTGTGCGAGCTCATCACCCCGTCTGCTAACTTTGGGGAATGGGAAAAAGAAGGGTAAATTGGATTGAAAAAATGTTCTTTAAAAGAGCCAGCACAGACATGAAGGGCTGAATACGCTGTCAATTTCTATGATTCTCCTAGAATTTTCAAAATTGTGGGTTAGTGTGTTGTGGTGTAGTTCAGTGTATCCTGTCGTGGAGAAAACAAAGCTGATAACAGTAGAACAGCGCTGCTCCAGCTGTTTCTTCATCCATTGGCTTATGGCAGCATTGCGCAAAGTTACTCTTCAATTGTACTGTACAAATTTCATGGATTGGTATTTGCAGCATCACAATTGGACCCCATAATTGTGGAGTCCTGTAGCTCAGTGGTTAGAGCACTCACTTTACAAGTGAGAGACCTGAGTTCAATTCCAGGCAGGTCAGGGCGAAACCTTGGGCAAGTTTCCTTACTCCACACCCCTAATAATAATCCTCTCCAAAACAAAAAACAATAATAAATTGGTCATTTTCAATCCACGACTGTTTGTGGGACATTGCTGTGCGCAATTGGCTGCCGCGTTCGCCCACAAATATACAGTCAATTCACTTTACAGTGTGTTCTGTGAAGCGCTTTGGGATGTCCTCCCGACGTGAAAAGCGCTATATCAAAATGCAAGGATTTTTTATTATTTTTATAATTGTATGCTTTGATATGCCGGAGATCTGGGCACTGGTGAATTCGGCACCTAACACATGCGCAGGAGGCTTCCTGATGACCCAGTAACCGCTGGAAACACATGCATGAGTGGTTACCATCTTCTACAGCGCAGTATGGTAAAGTCAGTAGCAATCCTTACTGACCACCCGCCAACCCAGACCTACTGACAGGTGATAACAACAACAACAAATTACATTTGTATAGCACCTTTCTCGTCGAGATGATGTCCCAAGGTGCTAAAAATAAACAGGAGTGTGAAGTAAAAAAACTTGCCTAAGTTTTCGCCCTGCCCGGGAATCGAACTTTATTTCTCCCGTTTGCGAGGCTAGTGTTATAACCAATACATGACGAGACTCCACTGCAGCATAATAATAATAATAATAATATAATAATAATAATAATAATAATATAATAATAATCCTTGCATTTGATATAGCGCTTTTCACGTCGGGAGGACGTCCCAAAGCGCTTCACAGAATATACTGTAAAGTGAATTGACTGTATATTTGTGGGCGAACGCGGCAACCAATTGCGCACAGCAATGTCCCACAAACAGTCGTAGATTGAAAATGACCAATTTATTATTGTTTTGGGTTTTTTGGAGGGATTATTATTAGGCGTGTGGAGTAAGGAAACTTGCCCAAGGTTTCGCCCTGACTGGAATTGAACTCAGGTCTCTCACTTGCAAAGCGAGTGCTCTAACCACTGAGCTACAGGACTCCACAACAGCATGATCTGTTATAACACAGAAACTCATTTTATGAACCCAAACCACAATGGGTTGTGAATGTTATATCAACACTATATGATGAAGTTGATTTAGTGCAAGTCTGAAATAAACTTTTGATAAAAATTGTATACAACAACAAGATTACATTTGTATAATGCCTTTCACATATACATGAATATGTCCCAAACTTACCTCCCTAAACTTTGGGCTCTCTTACACTGCAGTCACCAACTCTTGACGTTTTTGTCTCTTCTTCCATAAGCAACTAGTTAATGTTACAGAGCAACAGTTTGTTCCCGAATATTTTACACGGCCAGCGTTGAGGATGTTCTAGTTAAGGTACACACTCGACAAGTTAGGAGTAAAGCTCAGGTTTACATGTCCACAATGTAAACACAGTGACTGCATTTTACAGTATATCCTGTGAAGTTCTTTGAGACGTCATCCTGACGTCAAATGTGCAATGTCAAATGTAAGTATTATTATTTAGCCAGACATTGCACAATCTTTTCAAATAAAGTTTAAAACTTGACAGAGAGCTCTGAATATTCACTTAACCACACTTTCAAAGGGCTATTGACTTCCGAAATAACATTTTATTTTTAAGCATTGTGTCACTTCTGGAGTAATCAATAGCTGCACTAAAGTGATCCAAGGTCAGGATCAGTGTCAGACATGATTGACCTTGGTTCTGATCCAGTTATTTAATGACCCATTTCTAGTTCTAAATTGGAGCCAGAACCTGGCTTTCATTTGATGCCATAAATGAAGCAATTTTCTGATGTTATGGAAGTTTGAAGTGCAAAAGATATTGCTTATCTACCACTGCTACCAATAATGATGCTTAAAGTGAAATGGCCAAAACACATTGTTACTCACAGTCTGCCCAATGGTATCACTACCTAACAGCACTCCCAACTACCACTAGAATTGTGGTGCATTTACACACTACAGTAGGAGTCTTGGAGCATATACATTTTTTCGAAAAAACATTAAGCTTCCTCTAGCTCCTCTCTGTTTATTTATAGGCGCTTTCTGAGAATAAAAACATTAGCAAACACAGATGCCAAAAAAGCCAATCAATGCAAGTGAGTAGATTCCAGATACAGGCAGCATAATAATTTCAGTCAATAGTCAATGACAAGTGCAAATGTTCATACTGGAATGGATAATCCATAGGGTTGGTCTGGAACATACTGGGAGAATAATGGTGCTTCCAATTAAGTAGAAAGAATTGGATCAGACAAAATACATCATTGTAAGGAATCCATCATTAGAGGTTTTTTCAGTCACAACTGAGAATAAAAAGCAAGTGTGGATTGACAAAGCTCAAAGGGGAATCAGTTATTGACATGGTTTCCCAGCGCCTTGGGACATCCCCCCGACGTGAAAGGCACTATACAAATGTAATCTTGTTGTTTATTTCTTGGATGGAAAAAAATACTTCATTCACGGGCGAAAGCTTGGGCAAGTTTCCTTACTCCACACGGCCTAACAGTAAGTAAGAACCCGGTAATTAGTCGATTGGCGGATCGCTTTTCCAGGGGTAATAATCCGTTCAAAAAAATACTAATAATAATTTGGTCACTCAATCCATGACTGTTTGTGGGACACTGCTGTGTGCAATTGGCTGCCGTGTTTCACCCACAAACTATACAGTCAGTTCACCTTACAGTATATTCTGTGAAGCGCTTTGAGACGTCTCGAAGATGTGATAAGGCGCTATATCAAACGTAAGGATTATTATTATTATAATCCATGCATAAGATGAATAATTTAAATTATAGCAAATTGTTTGACGATGTAACACATTACCAGTCAGGGTGGTAATGTTGATGAGCCTCTGGCTACAGATTTAAGATGATACTTTGGTTGTATTTATGTTATAACAACACAAAACAATTACAGAAATAAGCATACAGCTTGAGTCAATTCACTTTACAGTATATTATGTGGAGTGCTTTGAGACGTCTTGAAGGCGTGATAAGGCTCTATATCAAATGCAAGGATTATTATTATTATAGATTGCAACTGGTCTCCTATGTTTTAGGAGTGAAGTTGTTTTATGAAATAGGTCTCTTTAGTGCCACCACGAACAGGAGACCTGCTTCTGTATATTTTCATTGTTCATTTATTTTTAAGGTTGTTGACTTTTTATTAACTTGCAGTTTCTCACAAGCTTTCCCTTACCTAAAGGCACATTTGTGATAGACATCATAATACAGTCTTGTTGTCAATACAACGTCAGTCAGAAAATGCACCAGTCATTCAATAACCAATTCAGCAGCAGCCAATATCCACATTAAGGAAGTTCCGCATTACAGGCACAATTTTTATTTCCACAACTTTCTCCCCTTCCCCCTCATTTCTTGAAGACAGTACGTCCTGAGCATATAGTTCCTCTGGTGTTGGCAGCCTTCCAGTACCTCAAGTAAGTTACTGTTTTTGACATGTGAGACTGGACAGTCAGTGCCCACAGGGTGGACATGACATGATAGGGCACTGTGGAGGGCACAGTAGTGCGCTCTAGGACTCTGCCCCGCATCAAGCGCTCTGGGACTCTGTCCCGCGTGAGAGGCTCTATGTAAATGCAATTTGTTGTTGTTGTTCACCTAGTGTCCATGCACACTGAACATGCAGTGTTTTAAAAAAACGCGTAATACGTTTTATGTGGTTTGTAAACTCATGTCAGCAAAGCCTGTGTTGACTGACAGCACTAGGGTTGCATCTCACAGATAGGCCTTTGCATAAGGCACTTCTATGTAGTGTGTAACTACACACTATATTGAAGTAGTGTGTTGTTTCACTACAACCACAACAAGCTTGTGTAGAACAAGCACTCTGAGACGCTACCCTAAATGATGGGCAGTAAATAAACACAAGTTGTTGTTGTAGATTGTTGTGCAGATTTTAACCGCATAATGTTGCACTTTTGTCAGCAAACTGCACAGTAAGATGGTGTTTTTTTAAAAGAAGTGTTGGGTAAAAAAATTGGGTTTGGTGTTACGAAAGACAGTCCGTAACTATAATGGGCAATCCCATTGTAAGCTGACATTGGCTAAAGTGATTGATGTTACACCGAACGCAATTTTTACCCCCTGTAAAGGGTACAATTCGTTGCATTTGTCATTAAAACCATTTTTTCTTTTCTATTTTTTTAGGATAGAATAAAAGACATGACAGTAAGAATACTTTTTTTATTATTATAATCTATATTATTCTTTTCATTTTCTTGTAATTCTGCTTTGGCAATGAATGCACATGAATTTCCAGCCAGCCACAGCCACAAGGCAGCACGAGTGGCAATGCCTCTTGCCTGTCTTCGCTCAGAGTGAATTTCCACTCCATTTAAATGATTGTTCGTTTGAGATTATATTATACGCGAAAAATAAGCATAGATCAAAGCTAGCAATTGGCGTTGATGGGTTTCATTTAATCCTGAGGTTCTTGTGAACATTTGCTTGGTTATGCTGGAGTCTGAGCTAGCAGAGTAAATAGCAGCTTGTCACGCACCCTCTGCCCCTGGGTACTGACATTTCTGATTATATTTGTCTTACCCCCAAAAGAAAGTCATAGCTGGCATTGTTTAAATAAATAGTGGGGTGAAATCTAAGATCAATGTGATACTTAATAATAGTAATCCTTGCAATTTTTTGCATTCACATTTCATATAGCACCTTATCATGTTGTTGAGACTTCTCAAAGCGCTTCACAGACTATACTATAAAGTATATTTTGTGGGCTAAACATACACAAAATATTTATCATATCAAATAGGCTGGGAGACAAACAACCACCCCCATCCCGATCCTCAGTGATGAGGCCAGACATGGATTGAAACCTATTACTGCCGTTTGGCGGAGGCTTTGCCTTTTCTCCCCCACTGTTTGTCCTGCTGACTGTCAGCCAGAAGCACCACGGACCCAGCTTCTCCAGCTTCACCACTGAGGACACAGTTCCAGGGGCTCCCCTTTGCCAACCCCAAATGATCAATCTTACATTGACCTCAGATGTGACCTCATTACCTAAGATTTTTTTTGTTAAGTGTAATAGCACCTGAGGGAGCCCATTTCTATGCAAGTGGGCGGGAGGGTGATATGAGGGGGTGATGGGAGGGCCGGTGGCTGATGGGAGGGCGGAGTGATGGGAATAGGGGAAGGGGTGATGGGAGGAGGCGTTGGGGGAGGGGATTGACGGGAGGAGGCGTGAGGAGAGGGGGTTGCTGGAAGGAGGCATGAGGGAAGGGGAGGGTGCTGGGAGGAGGCATGGTGGGAGGGGATTGATGGGAGAAGGCGTTGGGGGAGGGGGGTGATGGGAGGTGGAGAGGTGGGAGGTGGGTAATTGGAGGAGTCATGGGGGAAGGGGAGAGAAGTGACAGAAAAATGCCTTTTAAGGTTGAGTTACCAACCACTTATTGTAATCTTCCCACTGGGCCTGAGTGTCATGTTATCTCCAGTTGGCAGACTGTTTCCACACTCAGGTACCACGAGGTGTTAGACCCAGAGTGTTACTATTATTCTTTTTGTGGAATTCAAGCCAAAAATACTATAAAAACACAAATAGACTGCAATTTAGGTCAAGTGTTCAGGGCACCACTCTGCTCCCTGAGAGCGAAGTCCGAGGTCAAAAGGAGCCTTCCCGATGAGAGAGATTATAATTGGCAATTTATTGTGTGTGGGGGGAGGGGGTGGTGCGGGGTATAGGTGTGAATGCCTGAAACTGCTGATAACTGGCACATGGGAAATACAAACCCTGTAACACACATGTAAAATATCCACTGAGTGTGTGCATGCCACTTAACATTGATAAAGAATGATCACAAGCATCGAAAATACATGTATTAACTTTGATGTGTGATTCCCAGTCCCCAGTAAACATTGCAAACAGCTACAGGAATGGTTGTTGTGTACGCGTGCTTTCGATCTCCCTGCTTCCTCCCCTGCCCTCCAACCTCCCCCACCCCGACCCCCAGCTCGGGTCCGTAAACTCTTATCTGTCCAGGGCCTCCTGATGTGAAAGGCACTTTACAAATGTAATTTTGTTGTCGTCGTTGTATGGGGGTTGGAGTATTCACATTATGAAAGGCTTATCATATCTCGCCTGGCTATTGTGTTTAGAGTTTCTTTTGATTCTGAGCAGGAAGGCGTCCTCTGAAAATAAAATATTTTCATTCCTTTTTTTACTTTCTGTTTTTTAAAACAATCCCGTTATATATTATTTTCTTAATCGGTTATCGCTAGTTATCCGTTTTTTCATTGCCTGTTTGTGCTCCCCATTGTGCAGAATTACTCTCTGGCACAGTCCAAGGCTGTGGAAGTCAGGTGTCAGAGTATTGCTCTTTGGGGGATTTTGACCAGCGCTGATAGATGGAATATATTTCTCTGCCTGACAACTGATTAATGCCTTAATTAAGCAACACAAATCAAAAGCGTTCTGACCAAACCGGAGCAGACTGTGTGCTGTCAGTGCTCAGATCCTTCTGGAGTGGCTGAAAATTTATTGCTGAGTTTAAATCAAACACTGGAATATTCACCAAGGTAAAATTATGTCTTTAATGTCTCGGATGATTGGCTTAGTTATGGTGGGTATTTATTTTCACTGTCTCCCTGCCCACCATCTGCCCCCCCACCCCCCCCCCCCACCCCACCCTCAAGAACATGCTGTCTTCTGATTAGTCTATTTCTGTAGGTTAGTGGCATGTTTTCACAGATAGCGTAGATGGGAGTCAGCCAGGCCAGTGCACTGCAGTGAGGAGTAGTCTGATGTTCAGCGAGTTAAAGAATGACAGAGATGATTGTGAAGAAGTGTCTCTTGCTTCTTTTTCTTCAACCTTCTTCAACCGTCCCCAATAAGATGATGTGATGAAGTCAGCCTTGTTTGATGAGGAAACATATGTTTCTGTTTTATTCTGTGTTCTCTGCTTCTGTTTAACACGTTTCTGTGCACATTGGTGCAGCCTCTCATGTCTACATTGCTTCATGCCTTCAATGCTGCAGACGCTTCACATGGGGTTGCAACTGGGTATATGTTGCTATCTGTAATTCGACCCCAAATGGTAAATTGATGGAGGGGTGGCAACAACTTGCATTGTACAGTACCCTTCACACGGGGTAGAATCCTTGCTTTGCAGTTAGCTGATAAGCCTAAAAGTGGAAACGCTTTTTATTGTGATCATTTTGGCTAAGTGCAGCTCCAAGGAGTAACCTGGATATCCAGAGCTTTAGGCAAGGGAAGCTCACTTGTGTTTGCACATGGTTAGCACAAGCCACAAAATTTGCATATGGGTTGTTAACATAACCTGCGTTAGAGCTCACTGATACCACAATTTGTGTGGAACTGAATAATATTTAACATTGTGGCATTCACAGGAGTCTAATACACCATGTACAGTTAACGCTTCTCAACAAATTAAGAGAGTGGGAAAGGTCTCGGAGTGGTTGTCTACAGAACTGCAAAGTAGAAGAGACAGTGGGAGTGGGCAGTAGTAAAATGACTGGTGGGAACAGCAATACTGTATATAAGGAACATGCATTCAGAGCAATACCAAACCCCTATACTGGTTGGTATTGGAGGAAAGAATCCCCGGTCCTGAGGGCCGTTATGCTTAAGCAGTCATGGCTGTAAAATAATTCTGAGTCTTAGCGATAATCTATCTGTTAATGATTTGAATAATTTAGTGCATGAGCGCGTTGGATTGTAGCTGATGTGAACCAGCTCAGGCAGCACTAACCAATGTGATAGGATTTGAAATGGCACTCGATTCACACCTATCCCAGCACCAGCATTTGTTAGACAATGAATTATTGACAGCGAAAGATATCAGCGGAGAATTTCACAGAGCCCTCAGGAATGTGTTTGGGTTGAGACATATTTATTTATTTAGTTCTATCTAACACTGTAGACATTGGGAGCAAAACGGATCAATACACCAGTCAAAGATGTTTTTTTGCCAATTTATCCCAAGCGAAACAACGGCAAAATGAATTAAAGGTCTAATTTGAAACCATTGAATTTGAAGCAGGGGAGGTAAGAAATATTGAGACTGTCTTTCTGCTCTACATAGAGGGTCATCCTGTGTTGACTTCCAGACCCTGGAGTTAAACCTTCATCTGCTCAGGGTGAAGCTCCACCACATTAATCATCAGGGTACCAATTTTGGACGGGAATCTTTTTTTCTAATGAGTTTTGATCTCACTCATTTTCTTACCTATCGCTGTTGATTATTAATATCTGGCAGCCAAGCGGTCAGAATCTTGTGCCCCATTTACTTAAAGTAGCCCAAGATCAAAGAGAGGTGTGCTCTTTGGCCCATCCTTCCACAATATCTACTTGACTTCTGAACCAGACAAGGTGACCCTGTTGTTGCCTGAGGTGATTACTGCAAGCACTCAATGTCATTTATGGTGTAGCAGGATGAAAGGGGATTTTTGAGCAATTCCTTGGTGGCACGTCTCTGTCCTGGAACTCGTTAGATTGCCTTTGGGAGTCTGGGAAGATGTTTATTGTGTGGAGAGCAGAGAGGGAGAATTCTGCAAAGAGCAAATTGATGGGTCGCTTGGCCTTTTTCTGCCTTTTTCCAGTTATCGTCTCTAGAGTTGGTTCTTTACCTTACTTCCAGGAAGCAGTGGTAACCTGTGTGCTTTCTGGCCGGGGACATGATGACATATCAGCCCACCTTGGCACATCATCAATACAGGATAAGCAATGTCAGTCTGTCTGGCCCATTCCTAGGAGAACTTCCATGGTGAGTGGAAAAAAGTCGCAACTGGGTGTACGTTACTATCTGTAATTCTAGCCCAAAAAGTAAATTGGTGGGGGGAGGGCAATGGCTTGCATTTATATAATACCTTTCACACGAGGTAGAGACTTTGCTTTGCAGTTTAGCTGTTAAACCTAAAAGTGAAAACGCTTTTTATTATGATCATTTTGGCTAAGTGCAGCTACAAGGAGTAACCTGGATATCCAGAGCTTTCAGGCAAGGGAAGCTCAACGTTAAAGAATAAAGATGAGGAAACGCCCAATGAACCCATTCCCTTCACTGAGCAAGTCGAATTCACACGATATCTCTGGACACTGACAACAAATTGCAAAATGTAACCAAGCTTGTATTTCCCTCCCCCAATATCTGCCACATAGTCAGTGATACATTCATCTTACAGCCACAAACCTAATAATAATAATATTAATAATCCTTACATTTGATATAGCGTCTTATCACGTCTTTGAGAAGTTTCAAACTGCTTCACAGGACACACTGTAAGTGAATTGACACTATGTTTTGTGGGCGAAATGCAGCAGCCAATTGCGCACAGCAGTGTCCCACAAACAGTCGTGGATTGAAGTGACCAAATTATTTTTTTTTTTAAAGGGATTATTACCCCTGGAAAAGTGATCCGACAATCGACTAACAAGCGGGTTCCTACTTACCGCTGGGTAAACAGACATGTGTGTGTGTGGAGTAAGGAAACTTGTTTAAGGTTTCGCCCTGCCCAGTAATCAAACCCAGGTCCTCTTGCTTGCGAGGCGAGCGCGTTAACCACTGAGCTACAGGATTCCACATGTATATTTACATCTAGCGTCAATAGTGTACTTAACACAATTAGCATCGTTCTTCCACGTGTTTCAGTTGTTTGGTCAATCCTGCAGCAATCCTTATCCTTGTGTGGTTCAAAATATGGGACCTTAATATTGAGACTCTCACCTCCAAACCTCCCCTCAGCCTCCCATTTCTATCCTCTCATCTCTATACCCCACCAGTCTCTCTTTTCTACACTTCCCCCTCAGTTCCACGGGTGTCTCTGATACCTCCCTCAAGCAACCATTATTGTTGAGTGAGTAACCTTTTCACCTCAGAAAGCTGAGCTGAATCTCCTGAAGTCCACACACAAGTATCTTCCAGCAGAGGGGTCACCTGAGGACATGAGGAACAATGTCTAGATTTCCCTTCCAACATCTCCCAGCTTTGCAATGCGCTATAATGAATGCTGTGCACAATTGGCTGCTGCGTTTCGCCCACAAGGTATACAGTCAATTCACTTTACAGTATATTCTGTGAAACGTCTCGAAGACATGATAAACTGTTATATCAGATGCAAGGATTATTTATCTATATTTGAAGGGATTATGACCCCTAGAAAAGTGATCAGCCAAAGGACTAAAAAATGGGTTCATACTTACTGCTAGGCAAACAGAGGCATGTGGAATAAGGGAACTGTATTTCGCTCGAAATGTTTTCGCCTAATACTTTGCTCTGCCGGGAATCAAACAATCTCTCGCTTGTGAGGTGAATGCTCTAACCACTAAGCTACAGGACTCCACAGGAGATATTTTCTGAGAGCACTCGAGTGTGGATAATAAAGGAAAAAGAATATCCAGGTGTCTCAGTTGGTTGAACACTGGATTTGAGACCAATAGTTTGAATGTGAATGTTCAATAAGCTCTTTAAAAATGATTAAATGACTTTTTTGCTTAAGAGTATCCAAACCAAACTTAGAATTACATAGATCCCACCTACGAATGGAATTTTCTGAGATGTGCATTGAAATGGAATGAATACTCTTCTTGGAGGGACATATCCTTCTTCGGAAGAGTATTAGACACAGGTTGGCAAGAGCCAAGGGTTGGGGATCCCAGAGTGTGTGTTGGGATACTGCTGAAATCTAACCAGCTAAAACTTGCCAATCGCTAAGTTCTCAAAGTGCTTCATAGGATTTATTGTAAAGTGTAGGGACAAAATACAGTCCCTATACTTTACAATAAATCCTATGAAGGACTTTGAGAAATCCTTCTCACATGAAAGGCATTATATCAAATACAAATGATTATGATTATTATGAATAGCAATAATCATTATCTTTGCAGCATCAATTTCTTTTTAGGAGCATGTTTCACAGATCAGCTACGTTGTGGGAGGTCACAATTCTTTGAGTATCTGGTCCCAATACCCTCTGTATATCAGTGTCAGTATTGCAGGATAATGTTTTTCCTGGTTATTTCCTTGGAAAACCTGGAGGGAATAAATTGTTTTCAATGGACTTCTTAAAACCAGATGGAGCCTGAGCTGGGAGGTAAATGGTGTGAAGTGACTGAGAACACAGCCAAAGAAATAGATTTTTAGATAAATTTTGAAAGCAGAGAGGGAGGGTATGAGGTGACTGTTCAAATCGCTAAATAAATCCAGACGTGCAGTACTTATCCGTCTTGTTTTTTTTTCAACTCTAGCCATTTGAAGGTCTCAACACAATTGGGATTTGTAAATGATGGGAATTTGGAATGAGTTGGACATTAGTTAAAAACTTTGTGCTAAACAGAGCATTTAATACTACTCTTATATTACAGAACCAAAGCAGTGTAGAAGTAAAAGACACTGATACTTGAGTAGTGAACTTTAGTACAGCTGCTGCTTTTACATTAAAGTCCTCAAGGTTCCTGTTTTTTGTTCCACTCATCTGTGGAACATATGAAATCACTGAGTAAATGCTGTTTGCTTCACGCATGCATGAGACTTTCATGACAGTGTTTTTCCAATTAACCAGTTCTGAAGTAATGTTAGTGGAGGCTGGAAGTGTGCCTGCATATCAGATGTCTTTGCTCCTGGCTTTTTTCCCTTGGTTCTACTATCAATATTCAGGTAGTCGTGTTCAGAGTAAATAGCTGTCTCAAGGAAAGACCCACACATGCACAAAAATACAAAGTCATTGAGACAAGTGTGGATCATTATTGCATTAGCTCATGGCTGTGGTAGTGTTATTCTTTGACAATGGCAACTTGGTATAGAGGTAATATAATAATAAATAATAATCCTTGCATTTGATGTGGTGCCTTATCACGTTGTTGAGGCGTCTCAAAGCGCTTCACAGGATACACTGTAAAGTGAATTGACTGGATATTTTGAGGGCAAAAAATTATTTTGTGATAGCTAGCGATCCAAAACTTATCAATGACATACATTCTGCACATGCTCAGAATAAAAAGTAGAAACCCTAGGATTTTTAAATGTCAACACAGCAGCTGCAGTAAAGAGAGTCAAAACCCTCCACTTGAATGTACTTTGTGTGTGTGTGTGTGAGACCAGGACTATATGTACTGGCAACAGATACTGCCTTCTGTGGCTTCATCTGAAAAGTGGAGCAAAAGGCTCCACTTTCCAGATGAAGTCACAACCAGGCAGAATTATCATGAATCTGAGGACTGGATAGAAAAGCACACACACACATATACACGCACAATTTTTTATTTAACCAGACAAAACCTTCATCACACAATGACCGAAAGTGCTTTCTGAAGCAGTCCAGAGAGTTGATAAATGACAACATGTCCAAGCTGTCAACTCCAACCTTGTTTGCTAATCTTGCTTCCTGAATACAGATTTTTTTTGATTCTGTTAATGCTTTGAGCTGGTCTCAGTCTATCAATGGAGAGAAAGCATTAATGTGCTTCAACGACTGATGATAGGACTGCTCCTTGTTATAGACAGTAACTGGAGCGTCAGTTTTTGTCCAGTCGGTATAGCAGCCTGTCTGCCTCACACATGGGGCAAGTTATGTGTCAGCGGGCTATGACAATCTGTTCACACTATCAGTCAAAGTGCATAAGAACATAGGAAGGAGCAGGGCCAGTCCATCTGGTTGGAAACTCAGCGTTAATACTGTGCCACCAATCACTATGTACCTGCGAATCTAATGTCCGTGTTAAATAAAAACTGGGATGAGCAGAAAAAATATATTAAATAGAATTGACCCTGAAGCAAAAACAGAGCAGAGTTTTTGGTGCAAGATTTCAGGAGCGACCCAGGTTAGAGATACTGAATGCATTAATCAACCTCTTCAAAGAAAGAATGTGGGCGCTAATGTCACCGTTTCAAATGGAAACATCTCGAAGCACTTCATGAGAAATGATTTCCATGGGTAGTGACTGTTATTTAGGCAAAGTGGCAGTCTGTGCCAGTCTGTATCAGCAGCTTCTGAGCACAGAGGCCATTTGTGCCAGTCTATATCTGTGCCCTTTGAATAAAAACAGAGGCCATTTGTGTAAATTTCAGTGCCTCAAGTTCAAGCACAGCTAATTGGAGCTGTATACAATCAGAGTAGTGCACTTGTAAACCATGACTCCATTTTCAGGACCACTTGAGCAGTATTTTTGCAATTCATCACAAATTCTGTTAAGTATTTATCAATTTGGGGGGGAAAATTGCCAAATTCCTTGTTAAGAAGACTGGGCACTTTTAGCATCTAGTTTGCTGAATGCGGTACTGTAAATGAGAGAGGCTGTGATGTATAGTTGATTGAGAAAACTGTTGTCCCGTTTGTAGTATTTACATTATTTTACCAGTTGCATAATCGAGAGGAATGCAACACTAATTTCTCCTGCAGGGAAATGCTGGACTTCCTCGAGTCCAAAATCGAGGGAATCCGCTCAGCTGCCACTGCCCTTCCAACTTCCACTCCCTCCCTACCAGCCCCGCAACACTCCGACCACTACCCATCCCTCTTCCACACCTTTGAACCTGTCAGCCCCTCCTCTATCATCACCACCATATCCTCCATGAAGCCCACCACCTGCTTCCTGGACCCCATCCCCATCCCTCTCCTTAAATCCCAGCTCCACCTCCTCGCCCCACTACTCACCGACATCATAATAATAATAATAATAATAATCTTTGCATTTGATATAGCGCTTTTCACGTCGGGAGGACATCCGAAAGCGCTTCACAGAACACACTGTAAAGTGAATTGACTGTATATTTGTGGGCGAACACGGCAGCCAATTGCGCACAGCAATGTCCCACAAACAGTCGTAGATTGAAAATGACCAATTTATTATTGTTTTTGGTCAACCTCACCCTGTCAACTGGCACTGTTCGTACCCCCCTCAAAACAGCCACTATTACCCCCACCTTGAAGAAACCTTTCCTTGACCCATCGCAGCTATCCAGCTACTGGCCCATTTCCAACCTTGAAAGCTGTTGTCTCCCAGCTTCGCTCTTTTCTCTCCTCCCACTCCCTTCATCAGCCCCTCCAATCGGGTTTCTGTGCTGCCCACAGCACGGAAACTGCTCTGGTCCAGGTCATAAGTGACATTCTGACCATGTGTGACCAGGGCTCCCTCTGTCTCCTCTTCCTCCTGGACCTCTCTGCCGCTTTTGACAGTGTGCACCATTCAATCCTCCTCCACCGCCTCTCCTCCCACCTTAACCTCCAAGGTTCTGTCCTCGACTGGTTCAGGTCCTACCTTTCACACCACCTCCACTTTGTCTCAGCAAACGGCTTCTCCTCCAGCCCCCACACTGTCTTGTACGGTGTTGCTCAGGGCTCTGTCCTCGGTCCCCTCCTCTTCACCCTCTACATGCTCTCCCTTGGTGACATTGTCCGCAGACACGGGGTAAATTTCCACATGTATGCAGATGACACCCAACTCTATCTCTCTGCCTCCACCCTCAACTCCAGGACTACTGGCGTCCTGACCTGCCTGTCTGGCATCAAGAGGGACAACTTTCTCCAACTCAACGTCAGCAAGACCAAGGCCCTCCTGATTGGCTCGCGCCAGCGCCTCCGCACCTCAGGCTCTGGCAGCATCAGCCTCCACGGCTACACACTCAACCTCACTAAGCCAGTCAGGAACCTGGGTATCTTGTTTGACCCTGAACTGTCCTTTCTCCCTCACATCCTTGCCTTGACCGGCACTGCCTACCACCACCTCCGCAACATTGCTAAACTCCACCACTGCCTCACCCCTCAGGCTGCCGAAACCCTCACCCACACATTCGTCACATCAAGGCTCGATTATGGAAATTCCCTCCTCATTGGCCTTCCCAACTCATCCAAAACTCATGTACACTCGCGCACCAGGCTCCGTGACCCCATCACTTGCACCCTCGCCCGACTCCACTGGCTCCCCATCCCTCAGAGGATCGAATTCAAGAACCTTGTCCTCACTTTGAAGGCCATCCATAGCCTTGCCCCCTCCTGCCTCTGACCTGCTGACTCCCTACCAACTTGCCTGCTCCCTCCGCTCAGCGGGCTCTGGCCTACTTCATGTCTCCTGCCTGACCTGCCCTACCATCGGTGGCCGAACTTTCAGTCTCTCTGCCCCACACTCTGGAACTGCATCCCACAGTCCCTTCGCCTCGCATCCTCCCTTGCCTCCTTCATGGCCAGTCTCAAGACTATCCTTCGATCGTGCCTTCGGTCGCCTTCCCACCTCTCTGCCTTCCCTCACCCCTACTCCACCCCTCCCTCATGCTCAGGTCCTGATCCCTGACTATCCAGCGCCTTGGGATGTCCTCCCGACGTGAAAGGCGCCCTATAAATGTAATTTTGTTGTTGTTGTTATAGAATCGTTGTTAGAGTAGACACTAAGCATGGTTCCACCTTCTGGTGGGTAAGCAAGAACATTATGAGAATTGATGGGTTTCATAGAAACATAGAAACTGGAGGAGGCTATTCAGTCCCTCGAGCCTGTTCCGCCATTCGATAAGATCATGTCTGATCTGTACCTCAAGTCCAGTTTCCCGCCCTTGCCCTGTATCTCTTAATACCCTGGCCTAACAAAACAAAAATCCATCCCGACTCCAGTAAGTGCCTGGCTGACATAACGTGTATGTATTTAGCTTCCTTCTCGCAGAAAGTGTTTTGAGTACTTAAACCACTGTCCCCTTTAAACTTACAACAATAACAAATTACATTTGGATAGTGCCTTTCATGTCAGGAGGACATCCCAAGGCGCTGGACAGTCAGGGATTTGGATCTGAGCATGGGATTGGGATCAGGAGGGTAGGGGTAGGAGAGTGGCCGAAAGCATGGGCGTAGAGGAGGGTCTTGTTTGTTTCCCCATTCCGTTTCAACAGGGCTTGTGCCATCTCTGTGCAGGGAGGGGTAAGCAGAGATTCGGATATCAGATGGATAACATCTACCAGTTGCACCTTGCACCACTACAGGGTAACAGTAGAGGTTGAGGAACAGGCAGGACTAAAGAGACGCAGGAGATAACGTACATGAGAGATAATAAAATAGAGGGGAACTCTGAGATGCAAGCTTCCTTCTCATCTCCACTGGCTCATTTTTATTGATTCACAGAAACTGAAAGCTACAGTGAAATCTGAGCAGCAATAATATTTCTCAGTGCGGGTTTGGCAGTGTTTGGGGAGTGGAGGTTTAACTGGGGATTTGGGAGTAGAGTTACATGGTGCTGTGGCTCTGAAATCCACTTATGAAATCTGCATTTATATTAAAATTATTGCATTTTTTACACAATAGGGACAGAAGAAGCATTTAGCACCTTGTCATGTTTGAAGGGAGTGAATGGTACAGCATTTACTAGAGGTGCGGGAGAGTGGGCTGTTCAGCTTCTGAACAGGAGAAAAGTAATATGTTACTGGCAGAAAGCTGCTCTGAGATGTAAACATGCGTGAAGAACATAAGAACATAAGAATTTGCTAGGCGCAAGAAGACTAAGGTCCATGCATTTCACCTTCCACCATCTTGGCAGTTGTATGACATGTCATATCCCAAGCTATATATTGTATCCCGAGATATTATTTCCTAACAGAAATCGATCTAATTTGTAAGAATTGCTCAGTAAATGCACCTTGTTGTTCTGTGTGTTATGTGTGCTGCCTTTCCGTAATTTAGTCGTGGATCCGGCAAAAACACGATGGGTCGAATGACCTCCTTCTGTGCTGTATAATTTTATGATATGAGAATGTAAAGAGTCAGCACATGTCCTGTATGTACCTACAAAGAGAAGAGAAACTAGTCACTTAAGAGCCTCCATGGAGTACTAATGTTGACATCACTGTCAATGAGCTACGGGGCAGGATTCCTGATCGCTAACTATGTTGCAGCTGTACTGGTGTAAACTTTGGGCAAAGGCTGGATTGATCTCGGCTGTGATGCCTTTAGAAGCTCAATAACCTCTGGACTCTCACAGTGCAGGTCTATAATGAATAGACCAGTGCCTCTTTTGAACTGCTCGCACAGCATGAGCCAACTTCTTCAGAAACACATGGGAGAGAAGGTTAAGTAGCTGCTCCTAAAGGACAGAGGAGCTTTCTGCCAATGGCAATGGGAAGTGCAAATGCCACCAAAAAAACTTTTTAATGGATTAATAACACTAAACATTTTGCTTGCCCCCAGGTAATTTGTTTTCTTTTGCTGTTCTCCAAGCTCCAACGGTGTGACCACCAGAGCTCAGGAGTTACTGTCCAACCCACAGTTTTCCACTGTTCTTCTATTGAGTTGCTTCCAGCAGAGAAGGATCCAAATAAAAACTGAGCCTCATCCCCATTGCTGTTCACACACATCCCATTGCTACCCACCCACACCACATTGCTACCCACCCACACCCAATTGCTACCGGCCCACACCCCATTGCTGCCCACACACACCCCATTGCTACCTGCCCACACCCCATTGCTACCCATCCACAGCCCCATTGCTACCCGCCCACAGCCCCATTGCTACCCACCCACACCCCATTGCTGCCTGCCCACACCCCAATTGCCCGTCCACACCCCCATTGCCCGCCCACAGCCTTAATTGCTGGCGCATTTGTCTACAAAATTCAGTCACTGACTTTACAGTAAATCCTCTGAAGTGGTTTCAGACGTCCTCCTAACTTAAAAGGCACTATATCAAATGTGAGGATTATTATTATTATCACTATATCAAATGTGAGGATAACATTGGATTAGAATTCCCATGGACTTGCGTAAAGTATTTCCAGAAGGATATCCAGTTTGCGGGAATAAGAAATTCTACCGCAAACTGGACATCTGTAGGTCAACTGACAATAATGCTGTCTCTTTAAATGACAGAATAAATCTGTGCAGGTGACGAGAAAGCGAACAAATGTCCTTTTGAACTATTTGTAATATATCACTATTCAGTTCCCAATGACTGCATGTTCTGATGTGTTTTCACTTGTTCTGACTGCAGGTATGCGACTGGTGCAAGCACATCCGACACACAAAAGAGTACCTGGACTTTGGAGATGGGGAACGGCGGCTACAATTCTGCAGTGCAAAATGCCTCAATCAGTACAAAATGGACATTTTTTACAAAGAGACACAGGCCAACCTTCCTGCTGGCTTGTGCAGCAATGTGCACCCTCCAGTAGAAAGCAAATCAGACAATACAGGCGTGCAACTACTGACCCCAGAGTCTTGGAACATGCCACTGAAAGGACATGATGCTAGGAGAAAAGCCCCATCTCCTGTGGCACCTTCCGCGCAGACTCAAGTCACAGTCCCCTCGGCTTCTGCTGCCGTCTCCCCATCTGATCCTGCCAGTAGCTCTGCTGCCAAACTTTCCACTCCACTCTGCAAGCCAGCTTCTGTGAACGGAAGTCCAAATATTGCACTAATGCAGCTCCAACAACCAGCCAACATTGTGCCTCCAGTGGGTGTCCCTTCAGGGAGCCCCCCCATGGTAATGACAAATCGAGGGCCTGTACCTCTGCCAATATTTATGGAGCAGCAGATGATGCACCAAATCCGTCCACCATTTATCCGAGGACCTCATGCTTCTAGTCCCAATAGTCCTCTGTCGAACCACATGATCCCAGGGCTTGGTCCCCCAGGAGGACCTCGAACTATTGGTCCTAATTCTAGTCCCATGCATAGGCCAATGCTCTCACCACACTTACACCCTCCATCAACACCCTCCCTACCAGGGAATCATCAAGGGTTACTTCCCCCTGGAGCACAGCTGCCTAATGTTCCCTTTCCACCCATAAATATGATGCCAAATGGCCACATGCATATGCCGCATCTTTTAAATTTTGGCGTGCCATCACTTGCCCCCTTGGTTCCTCCTCCAACGCTTCTAGTGCCCTACCCTGTTATTGTTCCACTGCCTGTACCTATTCCGATCCCCATTCCCATTCCACACATGTTCGATTCCAAGTCTACCAATGGCTTTTCCAGCAATGCTGACAGCCGCATTCCAAACACATTGAACGATGGAGATGAAACAAAAGAGCCAAGCGCTTCTTTAACATCCGATAAGGGGCAGCACCGACATTCAAAACCTAATGAAGTCTCTGCTAACTGCTTAGGCCATTCTTTGAACCAGCTAGCCGCACTTCTCGACACCAGCAGGGGCGAGGTTGTTGATCTAACCGTCAAGCCTAATGGTCCAATTAAGAGTGATTTTACTTACTCCAATGCAGTAAACTTTCCACAAGATGAAGTCATAGACTTGACTGTTAGTCATAGAAGCAGATTTAATCACATCGCTCACAGGCCTTTACATCCACCTGTGAAAGTCGAAAATGAAGGCAGCAGTGTTGTAGATTTGACTGTTTCTATTCCGGACAAACGGAACTGTAATGACTGTAGGGATTTTCCTAGTTTGAACCTTGTTGAATCAAAGGTGTTAGCTTGTAGTGACTCTTCCCACTGTGGCACTGCCCAGGTAAACTCTGGAAGCTCAGATGTTGATTCCAGTCTAACGCCTTGTAATCTGGTTATGAACGGCACAAAGAGTATGGACAATTCCACCTGCTCCGACGACGCATCAGACCAGCCGCAGCAACAGCTACAGGACGAGCAGCAGCAACAGGAGGAGACCGCAGTCAACGAGCTGGAATCAGTCAAAGAGAACTGCACATCAAACTGTCAGCTGGAGTTAGAGGCAGGTAAGAAGGCCTCAATTGAATCACCCCTGGGTGGGGTGGACAAGCAGGATGTAAATCATAATCCTGCAGATGAGGACCATGCATATGCCTTGAGAGTAGTACCCAAGACGGGCTGCCTGATTCAGCCTGTGCCAAAACTGACTGAAAAGACTGCCATAGCACCCTGCATAACCTCAACGTCAATACTCAACACAGGGCCTGAGGACATTGAACCGCCATTGAAACGCAGATGTCTTCGGATTCGAAACCAGAACAAGTAAAGGTTTGTTTTGAAATGCGTTTACCAAAACCGCAAGGCAGCATATTTAGAGTAAACAACGAAGGGGACTCCAGAAAGACATTTCTGACCGTTAAGACGGCAAAGCATTTCAAACTCACTTATAATAATACATAACAAATTGATTTTTGGGGTTGAGGAGTGTTTAACCCTTTCAACGCCTAACATTTCTCCCCTGGTGAGGCTTTAACCATTCAAACTGGTAGTTGTGTCCAGCACTGATCAGGTAGATGGCTGATATGCAGATGACTGGGATCGTGGTACACTGACACTGCTCTCTCATGCTTGCTGATTCTGGGTACATCAATCACTCACAAGTACAGCATGAAATTCTCAACTTTTAAATTGTTACTCTCTAAAAACTATCTCTTCAAACATGGCACGGTATGAAACGTTTTTCTATAAAAGCATGAAATAACATAATAGCGTATTCTATCATTCAGGAGCTTTCTAACATGTCTTCATTCTGATAAGAGCACAGACGTACCCTTGAAAGTTGGTGACTGCTATATGTGCACTTTATAATATTCGAGTTGAAAATTATTTTTCTCAATGTGATTTGATTTTGGAGCAAGGTGAAGACTAATCTGGATGCTTGTGGCAAGGATAGTAATGAGTGGTTCATTGTGACACCTTTAAGCACTAAAAACCCACAACCTGCAAGCAAGATATTATTATTATTATTATTGAATGTTTACTACTTGAAATGGGTTGATGGGTGTCACTCTTTTGAGTTTGTTGGGAAACTCTGTATCCCAGCCTCATAGAAAGATTCCCTTTCTTCCCATTTAATTTCTTTTAAAGGAAACTGGGGAGTCTGAAGTATTTTGGTCACCCTCCTACCCTTACCTTCCCCGTCCTCAGCCTCTCCTGATCCCAACAACCAGCTCAGGTGCAGATCCCTGACTGTCCAGCGCCTCGGGACGTCCTCCTGACGTGAAAGACGCTATATAAATGTAATTTGTTATTGTTGTATTTAGTATATCAGCTTTGATTAACAGCTGTAAAATGCGTCGGAGAACATCTCATTCCTCCACATACACCCCCAGCACTGGGAAACTATAAACAAAGGTCATGGTTACAATACTTTCTTTGTTTTAGAATATAAACACGTTGTTGACATCCAATGTGATTGAGCAATACAAAAGCTGCACTGAGAGCACTCAGCTCCTGTTAACCCTGAGCCAAAGCCCCAACAGGTAGGGTGGTCCTCACTGGAGAAGCAGCAGGAAAGCTTGCCAGACAGATATTAGTGGCAAGCTAATGCAGGTTTAGCTGGTTAATTTCCAATGGTGTCCCAGCGCATACTCTGGGGTCCCCAAACCTTGGCTCCTGCCAACCTTTGCCTAATACTTTCCGAAATTGGGTAAGCGGAATGCGTCCAGGGAAAGAATTCTCATTCCATTCCAGACACGGAAATATCCATGTGTGGGTGATAGACAGATCTGTTTGGTGTGGATACCCTTAAGCATGGTGATGGGTTTCTGCATGTACCAACCACCTGACTGACTGAAAAATAGAGTATTGTACAGCATTAGTCGAAATTTGGGACCATCCTAAGGAATCGCAGTGACTGTTTGCTGTCCTGTATTTTCCTGTGTTCCTAAGTTTAGCCTCAAAATATCGTTTTTATTTCTTGGCTTCCAATACAGTGTCAATGTTAACGTTATTTTGCTCTCTGCACTCTCGTCATCAATTTATTTAGGAGCAATAAAAGCTGCCTTTATTAGGCTGTTCAGCTTTTTCTTTTACACTCACATTTCCTGGACTATGTGGTTGCAAGAGATCCTGAAAGCGCCTGTCTTTCACAGTCATTCTGATGTTCAGTCGAAAATTGTTCTGCGCAGGAGGTCCATGTCTGAGATTCAGCTGCAGCATGTGGTTGCTTTCACTCTGGCAGCTTTCCACATGCTGCTCAGTGCTGGCCAGCAGTTACATTTAATCACACTCACCTACATTAACTCTTTCAGTGCTGAGTTTCCAGATAACGTTTCTCCAGTAATGCAGTGCGGTGTGTGCAAACTATTTGTGTCAGTTTTGTTATCAAAAGCAGTGTTTACTTGCTGGAGTTAATAACTTTTCATCTTATTATTATTTATTTATTATTTTATCTTCACAATGTGTAATTTATTTAAATATGTTTAAATTCCACCTTAAATCCCACCTCTTCAACCAGGCCTATAGTCACCTCCTCCTTATCCCCTGCTTGGCTTCCAACCCTGCCACTGTGAAGCAATAATCCTAGGCGATGTCCTACATAAATGTAAATTGTTGGTGTGTATTTAATTCTCAAAATGTTAGTAATTTCAGTTTAAATTATCTGAAAGTTGATACTTACGGAAAAAATAATTGGATAAGTAGTTTCTGCTTTGAGAACAGTATTGCGGGAGCAGAGTGAGAGAGATCAAAGACCAAATGACTTAGAAGTTGCTAAAACTGGCAGTGGACAGTTGAGCTGTTTTGTTGTCTATTAAGCGAAGGAAGCGAGAGTAGAAACCTAGAAATGTTTAGCACAGAAGGAGGCTATTTGGACCACTGTCTGTGCCTGCCATCTGATTCTCTTTATGTAAGAAGTCGCTCTCTTTACATAAAACATAGAGAAGCAGTGAAGGTATTGAGGTGGTTTCTTGTTTGACTGAAGACCAAAGGGTCTCTTTGCAGAAAGCTTTTCCCTCTGGAAGTGCTCTGAGACCCTACCTGCATGGAGGTATACCCTACTCGCTATATAACTGCAAGTTATTGTGATGGTCTGAGTATCAAACCACAGAAATTTACAGGACAGAAAAAGGCCATTCAGCCCATCACCATCACCTCTCTGCTGGTTCTTTGAAAAGAACATTCCATTCAGTCCCATTTACCTGCCTTTGCCCTATATCCTTGCATGAGTAACCTATATGAGGTGAAAGTCATGAAAAGGTAGGTCTTACGGGGGACTGTGCAAGCAGTAAACATTATGAGGCAAATTATCTTTTATTGTGGAATATGTTATTGCTTTTGTTATTGCTTCGACCCCACATCCTTGCCAACGTCTGCCTTTCCCCACCACAGCAACGTTGCCGGGCTATGCCACTCATCCCTCAGGCCGCCAAAACGCTCACCCACGCTTTAATCACATCTTGGCTCGACTATGCCAACTCCGTTTGACTGCCTTCTCAACTCTTCCCTCCACAAGCTGCAGATCATCCAGAACTCTGCATCTCATGTCCTTTCCCGCACCAGGCTCCGTGACCCCATCACCCCCACCCTCGCCCGGCTTCACTGGGCCCCCATCCCTCAGAGGATAGAATTCAAAATCCTTGTTCTCGCCTTCAAGGCTCTCCATGGCCTTGCCCTTCCCTACCTCTGTGACCTGTTGGCCCCATATCAACCTGTAGGATCCTTCCGTTCAGCAGGCTCTGTCCTGCTCCGAGTCCTCCACCTGACCTCCCCACCATCAGCGGTCGGCCTTCAGCTTTTCTGCCCCCACCCTTATGGAACTCCATCCCACATTCCCTTCGCCTCGCTCTCTTCTTCAAGGCATGTCTCAAAACCCTCCTCTTCGACCGAGCCTTTGGCTACCCTCCTAGCCTCCCTGCCCTCTACCCTCTCCGATCCCGACCCCCAGCTCGGGTCCAAATCCCTGACTGTTCAGCGCCTTAGGACATCCTCCCGACATGAAAGGTGTGAAACAAATGTAATTTTCTATTGTATATGTGCTTAAGGAGCCATTTAATGTTAATCCCTTTGCTCAGCAAATGCTGGCCTGCTTCATGTGCCCCACCCTATCACTCCATGATTGTCGTGCTTTCAGCCATTCTGTCTCCCTATGACATGGGTTGGCATTTTATGGATCCCAAACACCATTTCTAACAGGGCTTCACTGCAAGACTCTGAGATCCTATCCTGCATGAAGGGCACTACATAAATGCGAGTTACGTTGCACTGTATTTGGAACTCTGAGTAGTTTACTTTGGAGACCCTTTAAGCATTGTGATGGGTTTCTATCAGATGCCTAGCTGACCAGAAAAAGTGTCATGGGATCTTTAATGTCGACCTGAAGAATATGCAGATAAGAATTCAGTTAAAGTCTCATCTGGGGGATTGCATTTCTGACAATGCAGTACTCCCTCTGTATAATCCAGAATATGGATCCAGAACAAGGGTTAACCAACTGAGCCAGGCAGAAACTTGGTAAAATATAGAAGTTTATTGTGGATTTCTGTAGAGGAAACAGCAGAAAGAAACAGCCTTTAAGAAATGAGCCAGGGATAGAGGGAGGGCATCTCTTGAACTGAACACATGCGATTTGCGTTTATTTAAATCAACTATTCGACTGTAACTGTTACAAGTAAAGAAGCCAAATCTGGAAACTGTGTGCAGAGAGTCAGTGAATCCATCAGAACCCACAGAATGAGCATCTTAAGTTCAGCTGACTCAGCTTCAAACATAAGAGCTTATTGTCACTGTAAAGTTGAGTTAAGCAGGCAGTTGTAATCTTCCTGTGCTCACCGTGGGATCGAAATTCCGTGCTGAACGTTAGTTATCTAAATGAAGACGGCTAACACAATTTGGGGATTTATTCGGAAATCAAGTGTTGATTGTAACCCTAAATACCGGTGAGGGTTTTTGTGCTTATATATTGAAGGTACGGTTATCTTATGCGAACTACTAAAAAGATCTTAGTTTTGCACAAGATTAGGGTGAATTGTCCACCCTAGCCTTGAAAGAAACTTTGTCATGCAAGGCTTTTGGTAGGAGGAGGATGTGAACAAGCTAACTTTCTCCTGGATCTCTTTCATTTCCATTTCTTCTTTGGTGTCGTCGGCATCGTCATCTTCCTACTCTCCTTGGGGAGTGAAGCCACTGACATCCTCCTCGAGGGTGTCGCTCCTGTTTCTGTCTGCGCTGATGTGTGGGTGAAAGAGTTTTTCCCAAGTAAATGATGGCAGAAAGTCTGACAGAAACAAATGAGAAGCAAATGGATAAGTGTAATCCAAAGCGCTATC